AAATAGGAGCACTATTTATCAATCTGTAATAAAAGACGTGAGAAAATTCTGTCTTTTTTAAAGACAAAAATTTTTGAGGCGAAATACCCAAAAAGAAGTTTGTGAAAAATATTGACGCTGTTGCGTCATAGATGCTAATCAATTCGTTTGGGTGTAGGTTGGCCCTTTGGAGTACGAATAACCGTACATTTTCACTAATGTTCCAAGCATAATCTGGATGATGTTTGATATTTTATTTATGATATGAATCGAGTGAACTTTCGCGATTTCAACACAATTACCGTAAAAAGTGAACCGTTCGTAGATCATGGTCTTGACCTTCGCCTTGCTTTGTTTTGGAGGATTTTCACTCATCAATATTGAGAACACCAGTTGTACAATACATATTCTTCAGAATAGTATTATTATTATTATTAACAGAGACGTTTACCAAAAGTCCCACGAAACATCAAGACCATCGATAAAATCGATTCATCATCGATTGCGCCTATTCGATCGATCACTAACAAACGCAATCTTTGGCCATTATTCGGAAGTGGGGTCATAGGCCGCTGCCGGCATCTGAACCGATGTGTTTGGTATCAACGGAGTACGATGCACGAACTCTGGTACCATACCAGTTCCGGTATTCACTGTGTCAGTTTCTATCTGCAGGTACTCTTTCTTCTTTTCTTTTGGCCTGAAGAGATAGGGAAGAAGGGGGTCGAGGGGGGGCGGGGCGGACAGGCGGCCTCACTTTGCAACTTGTGTCTTGTGAGACCAGTGCCGTGTAAGGGTCTATAATCAAAATCCATCTTCTGCTTTGGTATAATCTTCAGTAATATATCAGCAATGACTGCTCAAGCCCGGTCCCAACTTCCCTCATTTGTCTCTTATATTATTAAGTGCTTTGTTTGTCCAAGTCGTTAACTTCCAACGTTTTGAAGCCGTTCAGATCGTTTACGCTTCGGTTGCGAGGTTTAGGTAGGGCAAATAGGAGGAAATTTCATCTATAATAAGCCGAACGAACCGTGCCATTAGCAGGACATAAAAAGCCGATGTTTCCATAATAACTGCGAGATGCATAGAATTAGCTGTCATTACTGAAGCACGCCTATGTAAAAGAGTACTTCTTCTGGCCGGCAATATGCCCCGAGCGTCATACCACCGAGGAGTCACGACCTTTCGTAACCCAGCTTGCTTACCAAATTCACACACGCGAAGCGGAGCTCACATTGTAAAGCGAAATTCCATAGTACCACAACAGTACCCACTTCTACAATCGTCTTGTTTTTACCACTTTCAGTACTCGTCGTTGTTATTAACTTGTCGCGTGTTGAACCGACCACAATTCAAACTCTTTCGCTACGTTGACCTTTCTATAACCCGATTGACAATGAGTACAAGAAGCCTTGACATTGAGCAGTACCTGCGCGAAATCTTTCTTATTATTCACTGGCGTTTATAGGGTCGTAAAAAGGTAGCAGGTAAATAACTGTTTACTTACCGGTAGTGAAGAGTACTATAGCCTTTAGGCACGAGTACTCTGCTGAATCCACATGTAGGGCTTTCAGCTTCTCCACCTGCTCCTGAAACACGACAACGATTGTTCAAGCAAACCGCAATTTTTGATCACATTCAGTACTCACTTGAAATATCCTAATATGATCCATAAATTGCACAACCCTATCCGCACACATTGGGGATGCATGTAGCCCAGCTGCAGCAATTAGGGGAGCTACATGAAGAGGCATAGAACATTGACTCGCATTTAACACAAAAAGCTCAGACCAGACTAATCTGAGCAATGCCACCTGCAAATAACCCAAATAAATGCCGTTAAAAAAATTGGGGAAAACAATTTGATTGAAGTCAGCTTTTAGAGTTATTGTGATGTTACAGGAACCAATGTTGCTGATTTAAAAATCAGTGTTAATTGAAATTCGTAGTGAAAAAATGAATAATTGTGCAATTATTTTAATAACAACTGGACCATACTAAACACTCCCGTTTTCGTACCCCAACAAATACTTTACTAGAACACCTACAAACGCAACTGAACTAACGACTAAGACCTGTTTGTTTTGTAAGCCAAGAACTTTTAATTTTTTTTATCACTGATTAGTTTATACGAGTGTTAAGAATAGGAATTAATTTTAGAGTAAGCTAGGTTAAGACACATATGTACTACACAAGGGCAGAAACACCTATTGGGTCGATAGCCTTTTTCTATAGGAAATAAAGATTATTTATATGTATATATATATTTTCATAATTGGTATTCTTTTGGGTGTCAATGCCATTCCAGAACAAAAAAAGAAAATAGTGTGCTTTGTAAAGATTAATTTATATGCATATATATATTTTAATAATTGGTATTCTTTTGGATGCCGATGCCATTCCAGAACAAAAAAAAGAAAATAGTGTGCTTTGTAACATCAAAAAAGGCAAATAAGCTCATATATTTTAGGTTTCAATTACGCTTTAGTTTTCGGCAATTGGTTCGTTTAACAACACAGTTACATTTACAGTTAGTAGGGCAATAGAAGAAATTTGACGATTGCAGAAACTCTGCTTGGGATTTGTGTACATTTTCCTGCCACAAACCGCGGTATTAATCGCGCCAAGCAAGGATGAGGTATCAGTTCACAAAACATTTTTTTTACTTTTTGGATACTTTAAAGTTCAGTTTCTTCAACAAATACGGATTCCGATTTACGAATTTTTATACATAAAGGCAAAACCGCGCCATTAATTAGGGAATTATTCAACTTGGCTGAACATTCAAGGAATTGCATTTAAGAGCACGTTTTACCAAATGCTAGCGAAATTATCGGGCGAAAAAATGATTGTCATTTTTGTGATTTTATGAATCTGAAAAACTTGCTTAGAAAATAGCACAGCAAGTCTGACATTATATGAGGGAGAGTGCGGCGCAAGTTTAAGTAAGTTTTCATCATTCAATCGACTGCACTTCAACAGTACTTAAACTATCAATAATTGTAGCTGAGATGTTAATTTCGATGTACGTTGATTTATAGCTCACGGAGTTTCCTTCCCATGAACATGCTCATGATGCAAATTCGTTACGGAATTTCTGGTAAAAGAAGCTTTATGGTAATAAGAATTCTCCTATAAAATTGAACTTGCAAGATTGTGAATTACATCGATTCTAAGACAGTACAACCCGGTTCATTCGTGTTATCAACGTAATTTCCAATGGACCTGGCAATACCGATACTTCTTTGTGAAAAATAACAAAATGACGCAAACATGCGAGACGATAATATATTTTTATAAAGTTTACAAAGCCACAATCGCGCTTTTTGGAAATCATGCGAATGTTCCTTTTAAATTCAAAGAGGATAAGTATGCGTCCAAATCTTGTTTATATAATTATAGATAAAGCATCGTAATATCTGGAAAAACAATATTTTATTTTGCGCTAGAGCGAAGTCAGAAAATATGATCTGATGAATTTTACATTTGAAAACATAACATAAGTTACCGTGAAATAAAGAAAGGCATTTAATTAATACAAACTGAATGTAAGTAAAGTGAAGTCAACTAAACTGTTTAACAAAATGAACGTTACGCATTCAAATTTGCTCTAACTTTGAAAGTGCATAAATTCTGATTGCTTCAAGCAATTTGGTTTTTGTTTGAACCTTTATGTAGTCCCATTTGTTTTCTGTTCGTCAATATTTTCGTAAAAATTCAGCAGCTCAGATCAAATTTCTACAGGGTGACAAATGAAAAAATACGAAATTTCAGAAAGTTTGGCATGCTCCTAGTTGGACAAAAGTAAGGGTTTTGGGGATCTCAATGCCAAAAGTTTGAAGATAAACTAAATAGCTTCAAACGATTTTTGGGTCTAAAAAAATCAACTTTTTGTATTTGCAGCGATAAGTTTTCTGTTCTTAGTCAAAGTTTATAAAATTCATGGTGAAACGTAAACTCAATAGACAATTTAAGAAAAAAAATCAATTGCAAAAAAAATTGCCCTCAAAATCTGTGACTCATTTTCAACTAAAGCGAAGCTCATTTCCAAATATTTCGTTCATTTATGCAACTCGGGACATTGATTTTTTGTCTAAAGTCAATACCAAAAAGTTAATTTTAAGACTTAAAATTCAAAAACTTTTTTCGAGATACGAGGCCTATTTTGATGCCTGTGGTGTTGAAATAAAAAAAAACCGTTTTTTGTCCAACATGAGAAACTTTGATCAATTTTGCATTGTTTCAATTGCCACCCTGTGGAAAACTTTATCTAAATCAGTATTTTTTTGCAAAAACACGCACTAACTGCCAAAGGAGTGCACTACATAACGCTGCAAACAGTTCCGAAATAAGTCGAAATTTGTCCGTGGAACGTCTCTGTTTTGAGCAGAAAACTGTCGTTTTCGGCGTTTCAGCATCATCAAAGTCTTTGGCTTATGTACGACATCGGTTTAAAATAAACAAGGCGAACAACCGAACATTTGCAAATTATAAACAGTCATCAAAATTGACTGGGAAATGTTAAGTTATTAAAATACATTTGAAAATACTGAAAATTTAAAATTATTTTAAAAAGCTTATTAGCATCAGTTTACAATCATTGATAGTTTGTTGTGTTGTATGTTGTCGCTGTCGACTTTACACTTACATCAAATAATACAAATGAGGAATGATTAATTTGTCAACAATGAAAAATAAAGCTAGTCTTAAAACGCATGTAAAAACGTGCTATAACAATAAAATATGGTTCAACAAAAATAAATAATTTCAAGTGCAAGACTATAGGAAATGTTTGATAGTCTAATCCAGAAATTGCTCCTTGTCACTAAATAGAAGTTAATTTTGGAAACTTAGTAGATGTCTAAAAGCATTGATTTTTGCCATTTTTATAAGTGAACTTTTTATTTAAAAACTATAGCAGGAACATTTCAAGTCTGTTTGACCCTTTAGTGCAGTGATTTAGTGCAAACTTGATTTTAACTTGCTTACTTTAAAGTGAGTGTTCAATTTGAATGTGCCAACTAATGATAGATGTTTTAAGCATGCTGTGCAATTAAAACAATGCTTAAATTCATATGCGATGAATACTCATAGACAGTCATTACATGCGCTGGAAGAAAATGATTGTATTTAAAAAATGTTGCAATGCAAGTTAAGCAGACTTCGTAAATGTGAAAACGTAGGTCTGTTTCTAGAAAGTTCCATTTTCGCAACATTTAAGACTAGCATTTGTTTTATTGTAATTTGTAAAAATATCGTGGAAAATGTGCAATTGAAAAATGGTTCCAAAATACAGCCATTTAACAATAATGTGCAAATATCAAGAACTGTCGCATTAATAGGTATACCTGGCCCGTACGTGCACCAGATCTAAAGCGCATAATTTTTTCCTGTACTTCTGCAGTAAGTAAGTACACACTCTCTTTGATAAAAATCATCTAGTCCCCAAGTACCATCACAATTTTACTACTCAGCTTCTAGATGCTTTTGAGTGGGAATCAAATCGATTCCCATTTGAAGTGATTCATTGCTAATCAGATAAACTGCTAGTGTAAAGTCTTACCTGATCAGTGATTTGAAGATCAGGAAAAAATGGAATATTCCTAGCCCATTCCACAGCCGAAAACAGCAGTCGTGCTGCCAATTCACAGATATTCTCAATGCCCATAATATTGTTGGCCTGTATGCATTGGCCATACCTAGTTGTAGGATAGGGTTCTGCTCTTAAAAGTAAAGATATGTAGCTACTGAGGTACGTATGGTTGCTGAGTGAGGTTGTTACTGGATCTGTAGAGTTGAGGAACTGATTCGGTAGCCCAGGCAATGTGGGCTGTGAAGGGGGTACCCTACCTCTTTGAACGGCTGAAACAAAGAATAGTTTTTAGGAGACTGTTACGTGCAGTTGAGGTAGATAGAAACTTGAAAATTGGTAGTTTCATCGGACTTGATGAAAATCGAAATGAACGACCGATAAGGTGTTTTGTAACTATGCCCCCTTTGCATTGATTGTTTTCTATTTAGAATGTGAATAATACACCTTAAAATAATAGATTCCCTATATTCACGTATATTCTTCAACTCTGCTGCATGAGTTGAGGTTTGAAAGATGTTTTTATAGATATTGCTAACTTGGAAGCATATGGAAAGGGCATTTGGAATTACTTCAAAACAGTCTATGGTGATGAAATTAAATGAGAATTTGGATAAAAGCAGGATGAAAATTTCCAGTGGGTCACCATATTTAATTGATAAAGGCAAATTTCTATACTAAAAATGTAAACTTGCCTTTATATTTTCCATATGCCCCACCTGAAATAGAAAAACTGTATCAGTACTTGTATGTAAAAGGCAATTTCACCAGGACAGTATGGCATAGAGCAAAAACTCCTTATAAATCGTCATTTCTATACTGTTGACAGTTTAATAGTAATCGTGTACCTTAATTAACTTAAATTACGATATTTAAATACGAAAGTGTGCATATACGTGTATAATTATTTATTTACATCTCGCCCGCAACTAATCGTAGATGGTCAATCATGTGGGTCCGTCAATGTAAAATATTCAGGTCCATCACCATCTAAAAACCTGTAACGAATACTGTAAGCCATTAATCAAAGGCACTGTGCTTGTCCAAGATCATTTATATGGCCAGTGACGTTTGAATTAACATTGATTGCTGTTCAACTTTTTAATTTTTCTAACACACGTACACCGTATTGTCATTTTAATGTTCGATATTGTAACCGAAATGAGCACTCGTTAAAATTTTAGAGTACCCACATAAATTTCTTGTCCAAGATCCGCGCTAGATATTGTAGAAAATGTGTGGACTCCGGCTTATTAGGTATGCGGTTGAAGCGGTTTTTATGTAAAAATGTTCGTGTCATTGTCATATATTTAGAGTTTTTGCTTTTGGGAACTAATAAAGTGGCCACTTTTCAGAAATCTGTCCCAAACAGGTCATTGTCCTAGGATTCATCTTTTACTTCCATCAAGATTTTCATTATCCAGTGTTCTATGCCTTAAAACCCCATCTTAACAGCAACAAGTTCTAGATAATTGCTTAAATTTATAATCGGTTTTAATTAAAATTTTACATTGAACATTGTTCCTAGTAAAGACAGATTGGCGAACTATTAGTCTCAGCCAACTGATTATCAGCTATTAATTATGAAAGTTTTTAGCACTTTCATAAAATTCATTGTTGAATATGCAATAAAAAACTGTAACTTAATCCAAATTGAAAAAAAATGTTCTCTTTTTTTCATTTCATATTTATGATATTTTCTGATGTTTAGTCACAAACGTGATATCTAAATTTATGTAAAATTCAGGTTTTTTTTATTTGTAAATGCGATTTGTTTTCCACCAAACGCTACACAGGATGATCCAAAAATAAATTTTGACCATCAACTTCATTTTTTCAAAATGCTTTTGATTTCAATTTTGAATTCTGTATTGAATCCTAATTATAATTTAGGTATACTTAAATTCAACAGTTATAGAGAAATTTACGAATGGACTATCAATAGTCATTTGCGACGATTTCTTTAAAATTTCTGTACTTCTACAAAAGAGCGATTTATTTGAAGAAACAGAAGATTAAATGTTCAAAATTTGTGCTATTTACCGCTTCATAAGATCAAGGACTCTAATACACCCTTCTTGCATCTTGTTATTTTGATAAATAGTTTCTTTTGCCTCGTAAATTTCTCGAGTCCTGTTGAATTCAGGTATCGTATCTGAACCATGCTTAGAATTAAATGGAGAAAAGTGCTTGCGCAAAAGTGTAAAAAAATTCAGTACAGAGTCCAAGTTTTTTTGAATTTAAACTACTTTTCCCCACTTTACATTTATTTAGAAATAGGAATTAGACCATTGTGAACAATACGGGACGCATTTAAGATGCAATAAAAATGATTTAGAGAACAGACTCATTTTCTCTCATTTTTCAAGAATTTACAGGGGGTTTGATTAAGGGTGAATAGTTTAGGTTTTTAAGTTGAAAAAATGGTGACTTGGAAACAACAAGAGACAAAAACCTGTGTGTTAAGTTTAACGGGACAAAATAACAACAGTTTTGAAAATTAGAAGAGGACCTTTGCTGTCCAGCAATTTCACTAAAGTCTAACTCTTCTGATTATTTATTGTTAAATGTACCATGCAGGTTTAATTATTTATAGTCAAAATTACGGATTATTAATTTATTGATGAATTTAATCAATTGGCTTCCAATGTTTATCGATTTTTTAAGCTGAAACAGATGATCAGTTGTGCAATAGGATTTCTGCCAAACGTTTCGCAAGCACGAGTGTCTTCATGTATCTTCAGAGGTGGTTTCAGTATGAAAAATCGATGATCAACCAATCGTTTGAATTTAAAAATAAATAATAAAAAAATAATTAAAATAGTACACAGACAGGTCCCCCAACATAGAAAGAAGCAATTTATAAGTGAATGGCAAATTTTCTTGGCCATCATTTTTTATTATATGACGGTATTCGAGCGGAAAAATGTATGCGTAATGGTCCTAAAAGTCTGGAAAAAAGATGAGGAAAAGCGAAAAGACAGCAGGCCAGTGTTATGCTTGATGTGTATAGAGTACTATATCCAAAAATATTCATGCAGAGGCTTATGTAAGCGTATGGGATAGAGGATCGCATGGAAAAGAGGGCCCATTCTCTTGCTTATGATTGATCGGTCTAATATACAAATAGTTGACCGTAAGGTCCAACAAAAGGGCCGAGGGAGCCCTATACTGGTCGTGGCCATCTACCTAAAGGATCGTTTTACTACTTGCATATATTAACGAGCCAGTAAAGATTAATGGTCTTCCATTCTTTAACCGTGCTCTACGGTATTGCGCTTATATCGTTGCATACCATTTTGCAAACTCGCCGTGAGCGGTTTGTTCTTTTTGTTCGTGTACTTACTTAGTATTTCTTATTTTTAATTCCTTCCGACTTTACAGCGTCTAATTTATCAGCACACTCCCTCAGTTTACACTCATATATTTCGTCATTGATCATAACTACAGCAAATCTGTTTTTCACAGAATGTAAGCAGTAAATTGCACAAATAAATACCTGAAAGGCAGTCAGATTTCGGCAGGCATAACTGCGGAAACCTATATAGTGTCTGACACAAATCTGGACGTTCTGGACATTTTACTTTCTTTTGCAGAAATTCGTGACTCCTCTTTCGCAGATTGGAGTCAATTTACAATTGCGGAAACACTTGGAAAAGTTGACAAAGTTTCATCGCCTAGTTGAATACTTTGCGTCATATAAGACACAGCATCGGAAATCATTAAAAATTTTTATTCATATGGCACAGTTCAAAAAGCTAAAACCTTGTTAAGGTTCATCTATAAATTTGGAAACTGTTATGTGCTGCCTCCAGTTCTTTCGAACAAATTAAGTAGCTTTCGGTTGGAACGTCCTCATTAAGCTTGCAAATAATTCGACTACCAACATATGTGCCATAAGCGTCTGTAGTTTCGTCTACAGTAAACCAAATTCCACTAGTGTCTCTGAAAATTATCAAATTCGATGCGTTGATGTTTATGTATATTTTTCTAAACTGAACATTTGAGTGAATTGGCATGGGTTTCATTAAATTGTTTGTCAAACATTTTTTTGAAAGGTGCAAATAAGCACAAAAAAGACTTTAAAAAATCTATCAAATGACGTGTTTTTGCACATTTTGCTTCAATTATGTATTTATAAAAAGCATGAAGCCTGGAAATCCGGACTCAACATATAATTTAATAGAAATACAAATTGAAATAAAAAGCAGATGCTTTTGATGGTGGTAACTCCTTTGTGAACCACCCTGTATAAATAAGTGTATAGTAAAGTTGACTGCATTTTAAATTAATTTAGAAATTAATTCTGGTAGTCACTGTGTATATATTTGATAAAACAACGCATAGCAATTATCATCATCACCATCAAGTTAACACACGTGTATACAGAAAGAATGAAACAAAACCTCGACATTAATAACAATTAAACTCCTTTGACAGATAGATGCCCTTATGTATCCCATTTACATCAATTTAAATATAGGCCTTTTTAATGCTTTTATCTTTTATGTGGGTACGGCTCGTGTGCTCTATTATCTCAATTGTACCAAACAAAACTCTAGCCACACAATGAATTTGTTTTGGTACTCGAAAGAATGTATACCTAGATTTCTTCTGTGTTAGAAAAAGGCTCGGATGAATCTTGACCTGAGATTTTTATCTGCAACCCTTCTTCGTAGCACGCGAACATTCATCCTTACGGCAACCTGCTGTGGTTGCATTTTGATTATGCATCCCAGATGGGCCATGGGCAAATGTAAATACATCTGTCGGTTATTGTAAATTGAATGAACGATTATTAGCAAGCAGTAGTATTCAAAGGGTCACAGGGTTTAAGCGTAATAATCACACTTAGTTGCATGGCGTGCGTGTGTGTCTTCGTTAAGAATTATGCTCTTGGATTGTGGACTCGAAATGGGACCAAAGATGACTTGCTTCCGGTGCTGTTGATACAAGAATTGGGAATTTAAGAACATTTGTCTCAAAACTTTAGAAGCAAAACATGAGGAATGATTACCCAACAAAGTCGGCCAGCTCTAAAGACAGTGGTTGAACGTTTTCAACGCATATATTACACAAGTTCTGACGTTAAAATAATAAAATTTCCCCCTAAATATTATCGCTATCTCGGTTCAGTTTCACAATAATATATGAAGGATTTATATCTACAGGACCGATAAAAGATGATCTTAAAACGTATATTATGACTGTCGAGGTCTAGGGGTTATCGCTTGTATATTTCGAATTATCTGAATTTTGAAACTACTGCTTGAAATTTCAAACAAGCATGCTACTTGTTCAGCGTAGTGATGTATCAATATTTTCGACCCATTACTACACAATAGCCTTGTTTGGGTAAATTCGTTCAAGTATTTGTTGATTTTCCTTGGTTTGTTAAATGCATCCAGCGTTCAAGCAATTCATTACTTTCTTCAGCACCACCATTAGCATTAATTAAGAAATTAATTAGCGGATGCTTCAGCTGCGGTTATTTGGCCCAGTCAGTCTCGACAATTGCAGTCACAAAAATGTGTTTAACTACTGCAATATTATCAGTTGCCGTTCGGTAAAATGTGAAGAATTTTTTTACTTATAAAGTTCTGAATAGTTTGTTACTTTCGCCGTCAAATGAATGCTGAGTTCCATTATTGAATGTAACTTTAGTTCTAAATGAAGAAGAAAGTTAGGAAAAGTCATAAAAGCGCCTTTAAGTTTTATC